ACTACCTACCCAGTCTCTCACACCAGTGAAGAAGAAGTCACCACTTCTACTTACACTTCCACCGACTCTGAAGGTAATGTTACCACCGGTACCACTACCTACCCAGTCTCTCACACCAGTGAAGAAGAATTGACTACTTCTACTTACACTTCCACCGACTCTGAAGGTAATGTTACCACCGGTACCACTACCTACCCAGTCTCTCACACCAGTGAAGATGAAGTCAGTATTTCTTCTGGTATTATGAATTCTAATTGTATTTCTTTTACATCTTTAGAATCGAAGTTAGTTTCTATTAATGCGGATGCCACTGCAACAACAAGAACTTCATCTTCAATTAAATCATTTACTACAACTGAAATTTCTACAATTACTTCTACTTACACTTCCACCGACTCTGAAGGCAATGTTACCACCGGTACCACTACCTACCCAGTCTCTCACACCAGTGAAGAAGAAGTCACCACTTCTACTTACACTTCCACCGACTCTGAAGGTAATGTTACCACCGGTACCACTACCTACCCAGTCTCTCACACCAGTGAAGAAGAATTGACTACTTCTACTTACACTTCCACCGACTCTGAAGGTAATGTTACCACTGGTACCACTACCTACCCAGTCTCTCACACCAGTGAAGAAGAAGTCACCACTTCTACTTACACTTCCACCGACTCTGAAGGTAATGTTACCACCGGTACCACTACCTACCCAGTCTCTCACACTTCTGAAGAAGAAGTCACCACTTCTACTTACACTTCCACCGACTCTGAAGGTAATGTTACCACCGGTACCACTACCTACCCAGTCTCTCACACTTCTGAAGAAGAAGTCACCACTTCTACTTACACTTCCACCGACTCTGAAGGTAATGTTACCACCGGTACCACTACCTACCCAGTCTCTCACACCAGTGAAGAAGAATTGACTACTTCTACTTACACTTCCACCGACTCTGAAGGTAATGTTACCACCGGTACCACTACCTACCCAGTCTCTCACACCAGTGAAGAAGAAGTCACCACTTCTACTTACACTTCCACCGACTCTGAAGGTAATGTTACCACCGGTACCACTACCTACCCAGTCTCTCACACTTCTGAAGAAGAAGTCACCACTTCTACTTACACTTCCACCGACTCTGAAGGTAATGTTACCACCGGTACCACTACCTACCCAGTCTCTCACACCAGTGAAGAAGAATTGACTACTTCTACTTACACTTCCACCGACTCTGAAGGTAATGTTACCACCGGTACCACTACCTACCCAGTCTCTCACACCAGTGAAGAAGAAGTCACCACTTCTACTTACACTTCCACTGACTCTGAAGGTAATGTTACCACCGGTACCACTACCTACCCAGTCTCTCACACCAGTGAAGAAGAATTGACTACTTCTACTTACACTTCTACCGACTCTGAAGGTAATGTTACCACCGGTACCACTACCTACCCAGTCTCTCACACTTCTGAAGAAGAAGTCACCACTTCTACTTACACTTCCACCGACTCTGAAGGTAATGTTACCACCGGTACCACTACCTACCCAGTCTCTCACACCAGTGAAGAAGAATTGACTACTTCTACTTACATTTCCACCGACTCTGAAGGTAATGTTACCACCGGTACCACTACCTACCCAGTCTCTCACACTTCTGAAGAAGAAGTCACCACTTCTACTTACACTTCCACCGACTCTGAAGGTAATGTTACCACCGGTACCACTACCTACCCAGTCTCTCACACCAGTGAAGAAGAATTGACTACTTCTACTTACACTTCCACTGACTCTGAAGGTAATGTTACCACCGGTACCACTACCTACCCAGTCTCTCACACCAGTGAAGAAGAATTGACTACTTCTACTTACACTTCCACTGACTCTGAAGGTAATGTTACCACTGGTACCACTACCTACCCAGTCTCTCACACCAGTGAAGAAGAAGTCACCACTTCTACTTACACTTCCACCGACTCTGAAGGTAATGTTACCACCGGTACCACTACCTACCCAGTCTCTCACACCAGTGAAGAAGAATTGACTACTTCTACTTACACTTCCACCGACTCTGAAGGTAATGTTACCACCGGTACCACTACCTACCCAGTCTCTCACACCAGTGAAGAAGAATTGACTACTTCTACTTACACTTCCACCGACTCTGAAGGTAATGTTACCACCGGTACCACTACCTACCCAGTCTCTCACACCAGTGAAGAAGAAGTCACCACTTCTACTTACACTTCCACCGACTCTGAAGGTAATGTTACCACCGGTACCACTACCTACCCAGTCTCTCACACCAGTGAAGAAGAATTGACTACTTCTACTTACACTTCCACTGACTCTGAAGGTAATGTTACCACCGGTACCACTACCTACCCAGTCTCTCACACCAGTGAAGAAGAATTGACTACTTCTACTTACACTTCCACCGACTCTGAAGGTAATGTTACCACCGGTACCACTACCTACCCAGTCTCTCACACCAGTGAAGAAGAATTGACTACTTCTACTTACACTTCCACCGACTCTGAAGGTAATGTTACCACCGGTACCACTACCTACCCAGTCTCTCACACTTCTGAAGAAGAAGTCACCACTTCTACTTACACTTCCACCGACTCTGAAGGTAATGTTACCACCGGTACCACTACCTACCCAGTCTCTCACACCAGTGAAGAAGAATTGACTACTTCTACTTACACTTCCACCGACTCTGAAGGTAATGTTACCACCGGTACCACTACCTACCCAGTCTCTCACACTTCTGAAGAAGAAGTCACCACTTCTACTTACACTTCCACCGACTCTGAAGGTAATGTTACCACCGGTACCACTACCTACCCAGTCTCTCACACCAGTGAAGAAGAATTGACTACTTCTACTTACACTTCCACCGACTCTGAAGGTAATGTTACCACCGGTACCACTACCTACCCAGTCTCTCACACCAGTGAAGAAGAAGTCACCACTTCTACTTACACTTCCACCGACTCTGAAGGTAATGTTACCACCGGTACCACTACCTACCCAGTCTCTCACACCAGTGAAGAAGAATTGACTACTTCTACTTACACTTCCACTGACTCTGAAGGTAATGTTACCACCGGTACCACTACCTACCCAGTCTCTCACACCAGTGAAGAAGAATTGACTACTTCTACTTACACTTCCACTGACTCTGAAGGTAATGTTACCACTGGTACCACTACCTACCCAGTCTCTCACACCAGTGAAGAAGAAGTCACCACTTCTACTTACACTTCTACCGACTCTGAAGGTAATGTTACCACCGGTACCACTACCTACCCAGTCTCTCACACCAGTGAAGAAGAAGTCACCACTTCTACTTACACTTCTACCGACTCTGAAGGTAATGTTACCACCGGTACCACTACCTACCCAGTCTCTCACACTTCTGAAGAAGAAGTCACCACTTCTACTTACACTTCCACCGACTCTGAAGGTAATGTTACCACCGGTACCACTACCTACCCAGTCTCTCACACCAGTGAAGAAGAAGTCACCACTTCTACTTACACTTCCACCGACTCTGAAGGTAATGTTACCACCGGTACCACTACCTACCCAGTCTCTCACACCAGTGAAGAAGAATTGACTACTTCTACTTACACTTCCACCGACTCTGAAGGTAATGTTACCACTGGTACCACTACCTACCCAGTCTCTCACACCAGTGAAGAAGAATTGACAACTTCTACTTACATTTCCACCGACTCTGAAGGTAATGTTACCACCGGTACCACTACCTACCCAGTCTCTCACACCAGTGAAGAAGAATTGACTACTTCTACTTACACTTCCACCGACTCTGAAGGTAATGTTACCACCGGTACCACTACCTACCCAGTCTCTCACACCAGTGAAGAAGAAGTCACCACTTCTACTTACACTTCCACCGACTCTGAAGGTAATGTTACCACCGGTACCACTACCTACCCAGTCTCTCACACCAGTGAAGAAGAAGTCACCACTTCTACTTACACTTCTACCGACTCTGAAGGTAATGTTACCACCGGTACCACTACCTACCCAGTCTCTCACACTTCTGAAGAAGAAGTCACCACTTCTACTTACACTTCCACCGACTCTGAAGGTAATGTTACCACCGGTACCACTACCTACCCAGTCTCTCACACCAGTGAAGAAGAATTGACTACTTCTACTTACACTTCCACCGACTCTGAAGGTAATGTTACCACCGGTACCACTACCTACCCAGTCTCTCACACCAGTGAAGAAGAATTGACTACTTCTACTTACACTTCCACTGACTCTGAAGGTAATGTTACCACCGGTACCACTACCTACCCAGTCTCTCACACCAGTGAAGAAGAAGTCACCACTTCTACTTACACTTCCACCGACTCTGAAGGTAATGTTACCACCGGTACCACTACCTACCCAGTCTCTCACACCAGTGAAGAAGAAGTCACCACTTCTACTTACACTTCCACCGACTCTGAAGGTAATGTTACCACCGGTACCACTACCTACCCAGTCTCTCACACCAGTGAAGAAGAAGTCACCACTTCTACTTACACTTCCACCGACTCTGAAGGTAATGTTACCACCGGTACCACTACCTACCCAGTCTCTCACACCAGTGAAGAAGAATTGACTACTTCTACTTACACTTCCACCGACTCTGAAGGTAATGTTACCACCGGTACCACTACCTACCCAGTCTCTCACACCAGTGAAGAAGAATTGACTACTTCTACTTACACTTCCACCGACTCTGAAGGTAATGTTACCACCGGTACCACTACCTACCCAGTCTCTCACACCAGTGAAGAAGAAGTCACCACTTCTACTTACACTTCCACCGACTCTGAAGGTAATGTTACCACCGGTACCACTACCTACCCAGTCTCTCACACCAGTGAAGAAGAATTGACTACTTCTACTTACACTTCCACCGACTCTGAAGGTAATGTTACCACCGGTACCACTACCTACCCAGTCTCTCACACCAGTGAAGAAGAATTGACTACTTCTACTTACACTTCCACCGACTCTGAAGGTAATGTTACCACCGGTACCACTACCTACCCAGTCTCTCACACTTCTGAAGAAGAAGTCACCACTTCTACTTACACTTCCACCGACTCTGAAGGTAATGTTACCACCGGTACCACTACCTACCCAGTCTCTCACACTTCTGAAGAAGAAGTCACCACTTCTACTTACACTTCCACCGACTCTGAAGGTAATGTTACCACCGGTACCACTACCTACCCAGTCTCTCACACCAGTGAAGAAGAATTGACTACTTCTACTTACACTTCTACCGACTCTGAAGGTAATGTTACCACCGGTACCACTACCTACCCAGTCTCTCACACTTCTGAAGAAGAAGTCACCACTTCTACTTACACTTCCACCGACTCTGAAGGTAATGTTACCACCGGTACCACTACCTACCCAGTCTCTCACACCAGTGAAGAAGAATTGACTACTTCTACTTACACTTCCACCGACTCTGAAGGTAATGTTACCACCGGTACCACTACCTACCCAGTCTCTCACACTTCTGAAGAAGAATTGACTACTTCTACTTACACTTCCACCGACTCTGAAGGTAATGTTACCACTGGTACCACTACCTACCCAGTCTCTCACACCAGTGAAGAAGTAGTCACCACTTCTACTTACACTTCTACCGACTCTGAAGGTAATGTTACCACCGGTACCACTACTTACCCAGTGTCTGATATTAGTTCCTTGTCGAGTGTTTCTGTTGTAATTTCTTCGAGATCAAACGGATTGTCTTTTGATAATTCTGGTACGTTTTTGATGAGTTCAAGTGTGATTAGTATGTCATCGAGTCTGTTGACTTCTCATGACGTCATAGATACTAATATTAATAGTAAATCCTCTCATGATATAGGCAGTGGTGTGATATCCTCGATGTTATCTTCAAAGTCAATTGGTATCAGTACACTTTCTTCTTCTTATGTTTATCAAAATTCATCCTTCTCAAATGGTGATATATCTACAACTATAACAACTAAAGGTTCTTCTACCATTGTTCAATCCGAAGGAGTTTTAACTTCAAGTTGTTCACCATTTAGTAAGATAGATTCAAAATCCTTTTCAGTTAATGCTGACCTATCGCAGACCAGTAAACAATCCGTTACAAGCAAATCCATAATCACTGAAATAACATCAAACCCAGAATTAGAAACTTCAAGTTTGAATAACGATCCAACAAATCTTGGTCAGAAGCAACAGGTATGGAGTTGTCTACTATCAATGAATATGAAAGAAGATGGTTAAACATCTTCGAATGGAGATTATTCGATTATAAGTTTAGTTTGTATGAAGATTACGTTTGTTCCTTTGACGTATTTTGTCAAGGTAAAAGATCAAATAACACCGTCCCAATTCAATCTCAATCCTACTACTCTTCTCCTTCTAAATATGATAACAACCATTTATCTGTCGGTGCTAAAGGTTTTGAAACTCCAAACTATTCAAATTCTTCTTTGAATTCTTCTCCATTTCATTACAACGACGATGTATTCGACTATTACTATAACCAAAATCAACAAAATTTATCTACTTCGCCAATTTCTCAACTAAGTCCATCAAGCTAATGGTGATTTTTCAATAATTTCAGTTGGAATTTTTAATATGCTCCTCAAGCTATGGGTAACATGATGAGTAATCAACACCCAACTATCCAACTTGGAATGCTGAAATTCCAAATATGGGAATTATCAAAATGATAGTGACGGGTTATTGAACAATCAAATTATACTAAACCTGCGGGCTATTAATTGGAACGGTCTAAATTTATTCAATAAATCAAACAAGGGCCACCTTTTTCTAATTATTAATCAACCTTACAAAATATTTTGCCAGAATACGGGAATCATTATTTTATTCGACTTTTATTTTAAAACCTTCCCGAAGAAAGGAAAAATTAAAAAAACCATTATACGTTAAAGATTCTTAAAAGAATGTGAAAAAGTTGTTTTTTAAAATAAATGTGTGAAATAAAGAGGTTTATTTTGCAGTTGTTTAAGGAAGAACACCCAATCTATAAAAAAGAAGATTAACTTCCAGAAATATTTGCCCGAAAGACGAGAATTAATGAAGATAAATCCCAACAGAAATGTAATCTAATTAAGTGGGGAAAAAAAAGATAATCTCCCCCGTATGTAAGCGAAAGAAACTCAGAATAAGCTGTTTTTGATGCCTCTTGAAGACGCGGGAAAGAAGAAGCCATTCCCCCGTGTTCTCGTTAAATGTGA